GAAGAGCTACCAGAATATTTTAAATAAAAATAATTTAGTAATTTTTAAGAATCAGAATGAGTTATTTAATAAAAAAATCCTGCCAAGAAAACCCAACTTACTTTATATTTATACAGGGTGGGACAAAAGTAGGTTTACAGTTGCGAGTAACTAAAACATAAGAGTCTACTTTTGTATTATTACTTATTAATTATTGTATTATTTTCAATATGAACAATTATAAACCTACTCTTTTTGTCCTACCCTGTATATTCTCAGAGGAAAAAGAATTGGCAATGATGTTTAAGGATTGATTAGGTCTGTTTAAGTTTGTTATAAGTGTTGGTAGATGGAGGGGTTACTGTATACCTCAAGCATAATTATTTCTGCAAGATATTTGAAAAATTATCATAAATATCATTGTAAAGTGTATGAGATCTGTAATTAGTTGAATAACCATGTAGAAGTGAGGCAAGTTTTTTTTTTTTATGGGAGTGCTATATTCTTGGACTTGTCATAGACAAGTCCAAGAATATAGCTGTATAAAAATATAGTTATTAGGTGAGCTACAACCTTCAATAAATTTAAATAATATATTTATTGAACCTCTACTATGTCCCATGGGATATGTGAACAAATTAAGAAGAAATTATCAATATAATTGAATTATGATTCAAATTATATTGTCACATTGTAACTCTGAATCAAGACTAGGAAAAATGCTATTTTTAGCTTAAGATACTAGGTTTTTGAAGATAGGATGGTAGACATCTCATTTATTTGTTCATCATAATAAAATCTAGCATTTTACTTGATTAGGATCTCAAGGTAAATGAAATGCATGATGGAGTAGCTTAATCAGCTAATGAAAAAATAGGCTGCTTTAGAGAAGTCATAGTAACTATAAGGGTGGTGAGAGCCACCTGCAATATTAACTCAATTCTGAGCACATTGCTTAAAACAAATTCTTGAGGATCCTAAGGTGTTCATCTTATGTATCTGTGAGTCAAGAGGTAGTTTTAAATCTATAGTGCATTATTAATGTCTAAGTACATTTTTGAAATTATGATAACCAATAGGATTGAAGAATAAAATGTTTAGATTGAGAGAAATGGGGTAAGAGAAAGAGAGAAAAGGAATGTTAGTAACACCTTTTTTTTCAGAGGAGTGAGTCATTAGATATGTGAGTGATGCGAATATGCTACCTATACACACACACACATACACATACTGTCATTATTTGGTGTCATGGAGAAAACCAGACCCCCAAAAAGATAAAGAAGGCTGTCTCAGAGGAGTGTTACTTGAGGTTGAGAGGCCTGGGCTGGGAAAAAAAGTCTGTCAGTGCCATTGGATTTTATACCATCGCCGTATCCTACTTTGGTTTTTAAAGGTAAAGAGCGTCTGGATGAGCATCCTCCCCTGGAGAGAAAGTGGAACAAAGACAAAGTGAGAGAATAGAGAGGCTGCCAGGGTGGAGTGGGATCTGAACACTGACAACGTGGTGGTTGAAGGAACTGGGATCATTTAACCCAGATAAGAGGCAGAAGGAGAGGTGTATGCAGATGGGAGAAGAGGGCTGGCTTGAATCAGGAGCTAGAGGAGGACGTCTTTGGTGAACATATTTAGTAATTACTGCAGAAATTCCTATCCTGTGATTCCTGGGATCTGTATGGGAGGTGTGTGTATCCATGTACTCCCAAAGTGACATGGAAAGTTGTGTCCTTTCGTGGGTATAGGCATTTTAGGGGGAGGGAGTCCAACTGCTTTTTCAACAGATTTTTTTTTCAAAGGAGTTTACAATTTAAAATAGGTTAAGAATGATAAGACTGCCTTCCTTATGGAATAATAAACACTTATTTAAACAGAGACCATTTTTATTTATTTGTTTAAAAAATATTTTTATTGATTTCAGAGAGGGAGTGGAAGATAAAGACATCAATGATGATAATCATTGATTGACTGCCTCCTGCATGCCCCACACTGGGGATCAAGCCCACAACCTGGTCATGTGCCCTGGAATCGAACTGTGACCTCCTGGTTCATAGGTTGATGCTCAACCATAGCCATGCCAGTCAGGCCAGAGACCATTTTTTATAGATGGTAATCTTCCCATTGGATAAAAGTGTTATTTGGAAGAACCTTTTTCATTCTCAGGTTCTAATATTTACACAATGAAAAATGATAAAATAAATATATAATAATAAAAGCATAATATGCAAAATTATCAAATGACCGAACAGCAGAATGACCGTCCGGACGACCTTCCGGATAACCACGCTATGACATGCACTAGCGCCAGATCAGCCAAGGCGGGTGCAATGCGATTGGTCAGAGGGCCCTCATCGCCCCATGATCGCCCCACAGAGGGAGGCCCAGGTCACCCTCTGCACAGCGATCACCTCGACGAGAGAGGCCCAGGCCAGCCAAGTGATCACACCCCATGCCTGTCGCCTGCAGAGGGAGGCGACTCGGGGCAGGGGAGGGGGGACAGCGCCACACAGATGGCAAGCAGTGGCAGCGGCGGGGGTGGGGCCAGCTGCCAATAGCCAGAGGAAGGAAAACCCCAATAGGCCCTGATTGCTGGCCAGGCCTAGGGACCCTACCCGAGGGGTCCTGGATTGGGAGAGGGCACAGGCTGGGCTGAGGGACCCCTCCCATGCACAAATTTCATGCACCAGGCCTCTAGTGTAATAATAAAAGATCAATTACTGAACACATTCCATGCTGGTTGTGATGCTAAATGCTTGACATGGGCTCTCATTTATCCTCACAGCCTCAGATGAGGGAGGCACATCAAAAAATCAGAGACAAAGACACTTGCTGGAGGTCACCCTATGTAAAGGACAGAGCCAAGGTTAGAACCCAAGAGGTCTGGCCCTAGAGCTGGTCTGCTAGTCCCCTTTGAATGGGTTTTTCATTGTCTTCATTCGGACTCAGTTTATGTCACTTGCCTGTATTAGTTCTCACCACAACTCATAGTGACAACACTTGTACCTGCAAAGCTACTCTCTGTTTTTTATTTTTTCCTGTGTTAGTCTTGTTCTATTTGCACATTATCTTTGTGTTATGACTGTGCATGAGTAAGAGTCTAATATTTATGGATTATTTGAACTTGATATTGAAAGGACCTGAAAGGAATTTTAGAGACAGGACAGGGAGTTTTAGGGAATAAAGAGAGTCCATGGAAGAGGAATGCATATATGGGGGCATTTTTTGGGGGGAGACACAAAAATGCTTATCTTACTTGTAGAGAGGATAGAGAAATGCCATGGGATAAGAGGGGAGGAAGGCATACATTTTCAGAGGATAAAAAAAGTCACAAGAAGAAGGAAACATTTTCATACGCAGTGGTTCTCAACCTTCCTAATGCCGCGACCCTTTAATACAGTTCCTCATGTTGTGGTGACCCCCAATTTCATTGTTACAAATTGAACATAATTAAAGCATAGTAATTAATCACAAAAACAATATGTAATTATACATGTGTTTTCCGATGGTCTTAGGCGACCCCTGTGAAAGGGTTGTTCGACTCCCAAAGGGGTCGCGACCCACAGGTTGAGAACTGCTGGTAGAGGAATGTTGCAAGATAAGGGGAGAGGGTGGGGGCACCATGTGGGCTTTGAGCTTTGAAACTGATACTATGTAGCAGAGTGACCAATGAGGGGTCCTAAATTGAGGAAGGGTCCAATTAGAAAGGGTCAGAGTCAGACAAAAAACTACATCATATATAAACCAGAGACAAAGAGACACGAGACGGATTTTAGATTTTTGGGTTTAGATTTTTTTCCATTAGAGAGAGAGCAGACTTTTTCCTCTTGGGTGCCCCTTCCCAGGGGTCCCTTTTGGGGACACCCCTGCCCAGATGGAGTTTGTATATGCTTCCAATAAACTTCCACGTTTGTTATTAAAGAAAGCTGTTAGTCCACGAATTTATCCTTCATCTTTTGTCAGACAAGGACCCATTAGAAGAAGTTTGCAACCAGAACCCCACATTTCAATGTCATTTAAGAGAGAGAGAGAGAGAGAGAGAGAGAGAGAAGAAGAAGAAGAAGAAGAAGAAGAAGAAGAAGAAGAAGAAGAAGAAGGAGGAGGAGGAGGAGGAAGGGAGGGAAGGAGAGAGAGAGATAGATTATTAATTTTCTATTGCTACTGTGACAAATCACCTCAAACTTGGCTTGAAACAATACAAAATTATTTTCTGTTCTGTAAGTTAGAATTCCAGCATGGGTCTCACTGGGCTAAAATCAAGATGTTAGCAGCGCTGTCCTTCTTTCTGGAGGCTTTGGGGGAGAATGCTTCATTGCCATTTCCAGCTTCCTTGGCTGGGGGCTCCCCTCCCCCACCTTCAAAGCCAGCAGCAGTAGGTTGAGTCCTTATTACATTCCATCACTGGGCTCTCCCTGTGATTATATTGGACTCACCCAAGTCATCGGGGATAAGCTCTCCATCTCAACGTCCTTGATTTATCACATCTGCGAAAGGGGATTTAGATAGCACCGTCACACATTCCAGGGATAAGATAGGGACATCCCTGAGGATCATTCTGAGAGACATCTCTGCCTACCAGTCACCTGCTAAATGCCAGTCACTGTTCCAGGGACCAGGACAAAACACAACCCCTTCCCTAGAGGAGATGATTGCAGCTGATGGAGTATTTAGTCAGAGGTCCTCGAACTTTTTAAACAGGGGGCCAGTTCACTGTCCCTCAGACATTCCACACATGCGCACTGCGGGCCTGGGACGAGTCAGCTGCTAAGCAGGATAGGCAGCAGCGGCAAAAACACGCGGCGGGCCGGATAAATGTTTTTGGCGGGCTCCATGTGGCCCGCGGCCCGTAGTTTGAGGACCCCTGATTTAGATGGATGAGGGAAGAACATGTGCTTTGATAGAAGTGTGATCAACTATAACACTCTGGAGAGAACAACCGCCTGCGGTCAAGGATGAAGCAGAAAAAAAAGTGGTTCAAGAATTAGAATTGTTCTTGACTTTTTCCTGTGACTTTATCACCTTCCATCCAGGTTTTGAGACTCTGGGATATTCAGCACCAGCTGTCCATCCAGAGGATAGCGTGTTCTTTCCCCCAAAGCCAGGACTTCAGATGCCTCTTCCACTTTGATGAAGCCCACGGTCGACTTTTCATCTCATGTAATCACCAGCTGGCACTGTTGGCCATGGAGCGGGAAGCCAGCACGAGGGTGAAAAGCCACAAGAGCGCCGTCACCTGTGTTCTTTACCATTCGGTCTTGAGGCAGGTAAGGATGCTGTTCTTTCACCCTCCCAACGCAGCTCCATATCCAGAGGCTATTTCCTTAATTCCATCTAAGGTCACTGAGGACAAATATAGAAAAAAACAAAAAACATGGCAAGGAATTTAATAGGCATGTGCTTTTCTGCAACACTGTGTGAAGATGGTTTCATTTTCAGCCAGTGACCACAGCAGCACTGACAGAATTATAAGCAGTGACGATATTCCAGCTCACACAAACACAACATTACAGGATCGAACTCACCTTTGTTACTTGCTAGCTTGGCCCCGATGGCAAACGCAGGTAAACCTGGCTGGAGAATTTTCCTTTATGAACACCATCTTCCTGTATCCCCATGGAAAGCTCTGAAATATGCATGCAATGTAATTAGCAGGGATCCGTTTTGCCGGCATATTTTACACCAGAGGCTCGCAGTGGCAGCCCGGAATGTATTCATAATAAAATGATTCAGTTAAATGCAGTGCCACTTGCTATGCAGCTTGAGTGTTGTTTGTCTCCCCACCACTTTAATGACGCTCTGCAGCCTTTGCTCATGGGAGTGCTACCTGCATGTCAATGACCAAGCCGGCTCCCCTGGGCAGAGCCTTCTCAGTGGGCAGGAGGGGCAGGCCTGGGGGTATTGGGGAGGGAGCGGGCACCCATCTCCTGCCAGGATCACTTCAGGCCCTATTGTAACAGCACAGCAGGAGCCCAGTATCCAGCTTTGGGCCAATTAAACAAGAACTCCAGCTCATTCTTTGCTTCCCTCCGCAGAAGCCTCTGCAGTCAGGCAGACAGGAGTAGTTCAGATCTTGTGCAGGGGGCGGAAAGCTCTTTGTTCGTAATGAGCAGTGTGTCATGTCACTACTTCAAACATTCTGTTTCCTGGTTATTCTAGGAGATAAAAATCCCTTACGCGACAATCCATTTTGAATTCCATCTGGGGGAAATGTTCCCCCGTAAATGTTTTACTGAACTTTATGAAGGCAACCGGTTAATTCGGCTCCCCGGTGGCCGCTGAGCGATGTATTTGTTTCCAGGAGAACATTATGCTAATTGAGATCTGCAAAGTTAAACCGCGAGGCTTGTGCTTAGATGCTAAGATCCGGCATTGCCTGGCCATAAGATGAGCCATAGTCCCTGAGGAATTCAGAAAATGGGACCCAAAGGAGTTCTGGAATTTTCTACTTGGGACAGAAGATAAAGCCAAGATAACAAATATATGCGAGTTTTAGGCAAGGATAGAATATGCGCGTGTGGTATATGATGTAGGGAGAATCACTGTACAATTCCGTGTGTACACCTTTATTTTCACTGTTAATAGCATAAATAATTAAAAGCATTGATACATATATAAAGCACATGAGCTGCGTACCACATACATAAGTGCTTCCTATTAGCTGCTAAGCTATAAAGAAACACTTTTGTGCTGTATTCCATTTTTTAATTATGAAAATGTATTGGCAGTCAAGAAAAAGAAAACAATATCACCCACAGTCCCATAAACCAGTGATATTTGTCACTTCAGAGTAATTAGACAAAGCAAATAAAACAGTTTTGAAGAAATACCAGGAGCCAGGACTGAGGGAGACTCTATTTATTTCAGAGAGGAAGGGAGAGAGAGATAGAAACATCAATGATGAGAGAGAATCATTGATTGGCTGCCTCCTGCACGCCCCCTACTGGGGATCGAGTCCCCAACCCAGGCATGTGCCCTTGACTGGAATGAACTCAGGACCCTTCAGTCCACAGGCGGAGGCTCTATCCACTGAGCCAAACCAGCTAGGGCAAGACTCAATCTTTAAGGGCAGGTCCAGGGTGTCTTCCTGGTGCTCATTGCTCAGTAGGTCCTCACGCAGGATTGTGGAATAAAAACGGGGAAGCAGCCAGGTGACCAACTCACAAGGCAACAGTGGAGCTGAGGGTAATGAAGTAGAGGTAAGAGCTACCCATGGAAAGTGGTCAGTTCCGCCCGGGGCTGGGGGGGGGGGGGGGGTGGCATTCAGCAGAGCCCTGAAAGCCCGAGTGGAATCTTTAAGCGGAGAAGGAAGTAGTTCCAGACAGAAACCAACCGCAATGCGAGCACCTGCCAAGCGGCTTGAGCACTCAGTGCATTTACAGGGAGGGGTTCACGCTGGCGTGGCCAGTTGGGGAGCGCTTGACAGATGTTGGCCTTGACACAGTAAAGGGAGCTTAGAGGCAGATGGTGAAGGTCATTCACCGGCCATACCACAGTCTGGTTTTGGAGAAAATTATTGCTTAAACCTGGGGTTAAAACACTAATTCTCAGCGTGATCTCGGACCCCAGGGGACTCAGATCCTTTCAGGGAATCTGGGAGATCAAAACTATTTTAATCATAATTTTAACTTGTTTTTTGTTTTTTACTCTCATTGTGTCATTAGTGTACAGAGGAGTTTTCTAGAAGCTACGTGATGAGCGATGATATCATTGCTGTGATGTCCAAAGGAATGTGTGCTTCTTATTATTGTGTTTCAATAAATTCTTAGTGTAAATCTCTAATGTAAATTATCTATTATCATCTATCTATCTATTTCTTCCATATAAATAAAAGTTATTTGAATTCTTCAATAATTTTAAGAGTATAAAGGGACCTCAAGACCACAAGTTTTGAGAGACTTTGGGTTAGAGAAATCAGAGCTCAAATGTTGGGCAGATTACTTACCATGTCTAAGCTTCAGTTTATTCACTTTTCTAAATGTGTGTGTGTGTGTGTGTGTGTGTGTGTGTGCACGCGCTTGTGGGTCACAGACATAACAGTAGCAGCACTATCTCTCCTGCATCCCTGTTTATGGCCTCCTTTCGGAAGCAGTTCCTTCCTCCCGGCAGTCAGCCCTACAAGCTCCCCCATACCTCTCAGGTGGAGCGTTCAAGCTTTATCACACCTCTTTTGTTTGTTAATGTCTCCATATTCGTTCATCTTTATTTAACCAGGCATCATGTGAAAGCAGATGTTAAGAAGAGTTAGAAGATGGATTGGGCTTTGTCCCTACCCTGCTTATCTTCAGGAACATCCCTTGAGGGGAGGAAGTTGTCCTATCCATTCTCAGCCATTGTCATTCCTGCTCATAAACATTCAGTTATAGGGGTCCTCTCAGCTCCCTGAGTCTCCAGGGACAGCCCTGGCCACGCTTATCTGGCCCCTCTCAGAGCACTGGTCACATCTGGAGTTGTTTTCTAGTTAAACACTTAGCTCAACTCTCATTTTTCTCTCCTCCTATGTTTTTGGAATAAGGGAAAGATCCTTGTCTTCCACTTCCGTATTTTCCAAGAACGCCTAACATTCTTCTGAGCACCGAAATGAAGCTCAGTTGCTAAATTATTGCCATTTCTCATCCCAAGTTCAAAAGGAACCCATGCTTTTTTAGTCCACTGACCCTTGATCTTTGGTTTTCTGATTTTAAGCCTCTTTTGAGGACTTTCCGTTTTTCTGAAATTAATGGAAAACCTTTTTTTCTGTTGTCATTTCAGCATAGAGCTGACATGTTAGTGTTACTTAATTCTATTTGACTCCGGTGGAGACCTAACATAATCCCTCTATAAAAGCAACTTGGCACATTTCTGTGACTTTTCTTTATCTTCCTGACTTTTGGCACCCTGGCATCCCCAATCTAAGGAAGGGATGGGGAGCCGGGCAAAGCCTCTTACAGAGAGCCGTGTGCTTTGTCACACCCTGCGAAGATTGCCCTCACAGCTGGCGGCAGAACAAGTTGGGACAGCGTGAGGGAGTCCCTGGAATGTGCAATTTTAAAAGCATCAAAGTCACTCAGTATCCTGGAGGTAGTTCTAATACACTGTCTTTGCAGTGAGCTCTTAAATGAAGCTTTAAGAAAAACACCCAAGGATTTTAGGAACCTTTAAAAATGTATTTGTAGCTATAAACAGGAATAGATAAAGTTTCAGAGTTATCACGGTGGCTCTCATCCTAACGATGTGGGCTAATGTGTTTCTGTAAAATAGGTAATGTTTCAGTTGGTTTTGCACCTAGGACACACTTAGGGTCAGGCTGGACATTCAGGTGTCATCAAATTTTAACAGACAATACATTACATAGTTTCGTTTTTTTAAAAACATTACATGTTTATTATAAGATGTTGAAACAATGCAACAAAGCTCAAATAAGAAGCTAAATATCATCAGGTTCTAAATATCTCTCTGTGCATAGACTATTTTGCATAAATATTCTGTAACCTACTTTCTTATTTTATAATAGGTTGAAATGTATTTCCCTGTTCCCAAATGTAGATCTAGTTCATCATTTTTAAAAGGCAGTACATATCCCACTGTAGGTATGTATCATCATTTACTGATCCATTTGCCTTGATGAGAATTTCGCTATTACGATTTTTTTTTTTACATAACTATATTCACACTCAAGACTTTATCTCTCTCGGGTGAAATCTTAGGAATGACTTTCTAGCTTAAAAGATATGCATAGTACATAATTTGGTATACAAATTGCCTCCCTTAATTTTACCATTTTATCCAGTCTCCAAGAGTAAACATATTAATCACATCCATGGTTACATAAAGAAACTTGTCAGACGATGCTGCTGGCTGCGTCCAGCAGGCCTCCTGAGACCCTGGGTGGGTTTCATAATCCAACACGGGAGGTTGGGTTTAGAAATTTGAAGACTCGACCTTCTTTACCTCATCCAGAGCAGTACTGTTTCTTGAAGACAACTCTCACACTATCACAAGAAACATCATTCCTGAAAATGACCCTTGGGTGTTATTTTTTGGTACCAGTGCCTCTCCTGTCCTCTTTTCTACACACCATTATTTTGGGGAATTGATATTTTTGAGAATCTAAACAATTCAATTTGTAGTTCCCTTGGTAATTATAAAATGTGAGAAAAGGGAGGCTGACAAATGTAAGGGAAATTTATCTCCATCTTACAAGACATTAGACCTCTGTGGTGCTTGTATTTAGGGCAAGATCGATGTGTTTCTCTTTTGAACAGAACTGGATGAACACTAATGGAAA